CAAGACAACAAATTTTAAAGCCTGTAGGAAATTGCTGATTTTCTAGCAAAATATAAAATGCCAAAAGTGGCCCAAAATAGAAAGATAAAGTACCATAGAAAACATATAAAAAAAGATTAAGGATTGAACATTGAAAAGACACAAATACCATAGACGTGCATGAGCGAGTTCTCTTTCCAATACAGAGAATTTCAGTGTTGTGAACACTAGCACGTAACGGAAAAGATGCAGTGCCTTCTTATGTACCATTTTATAAATCCAGCATCGATGTAACCCAAATCAGGTAATTATATTAAGTCAAAAGCTATAGAAAAAAACATATTTATGTCATCAGGAAGGGTTCGCTTTAGAAATACAGTTATCAGGACATTGACCACTGCAATTTAAATCATCAAAACACGAAAGGAGAATCTGCATTCTAAAGACCTCACTGGGGTAGTTGCTTTTGTGTTATCAGCTATGTGAATGTGAACATGATTAGTGCCTTCATCAAATGTGCTTGATCTCCGCCAAGTAGAACGTCTCTTCTTGGCCCCCGTGGTTTAACGGAACTTTGCGAAGGGTTCTGACCGATTAGGTGTTATGTCGAAGTGACGTGATCAGCTTCTGACCCAGAGCTTTAGTTGCCCGTGCAAGACCGTTTTCCAACTTGAAGAAGGGAGCTGTGTCTCTGAGCCCCTAGACGTGTAGCACGTGTGGGAAATAAATCTTTCCTATTAAAGGTAGCAAAATCGTAGAGCTGTTTACGACCATAGTATAACCAAATCTAAGCTAATCACGTCAAACTCGAGATCATCATTTAATATTTCTGTGTTAATTTTGTTCGTCTACAATAAAAAGATTAAAATGTCTATTTCTCCAGGATAAAGGTATACAAATTCTAAAGTACACTGTCAATTATAAACTGATGTGCAAAAGAGATTAATAAGAAAATAATGAATAGTAATGTCTGACAACTTAGGCACAATCCAAGAAACATAAAAACACAAAATAAAAAAAAAATTAATGGGATCTTTTGGTTTTGTATCTATGTGGGAAGTTTTTGCTTTAAAACTTGAAAACGTCAGAGCCACGAGTACAGAGGCAGACCTTGCTTTTGTCGAGGGGCCGTCGTGGCGTGTCCGTCTACACTTCCCCCGACCTAACAGATCTCGTGCTCTCCTTTCAGCCCCGTGCGGTGGACACCTGACAGCTTCCAGTGGCGTCATCCTGCCTCCTGGGTGGCCGGGATATTATAAAGATTCTCTAAACTGTGAATGGATAATTGAAGCAAAACCAGGACACTCTATTAAAATAACTTTTGATAGGTAAGAAAAAAAAAACCAAAAAACCTTTTTTTTCTTTCTTCATTTGGACCTAACGACCTGTGTCTGCTTCATGGATTTAGTAAATGGATCTTAACAACTTCAAAAGATGTCAGGTCTTTATGGGATCCCCCAAAGGAACTCACTTAACCAGAAACAGGTGTCAAAACTTGACAGGTTTTGTTCTTCAGTGTGATCCTCTGACACCACAGTTAAGTCGCAGGTCTGCAGGCTGCTGGGGGGACTGCCTGTCCTGCGGGACCATTTCCCAGGTCTGACCCCGGAGTCTGACCCTGGATTTTGGACTTGCACTGGAGTAAACGCTCTTGGTGTTCGTCCACGGAGGCAGCTTTGGGGCACTTTGGTCCCCTAGGAGCCTTCTGTGGAAGCACGAAGACACGTTCCCTGCTGTGGAGATGGCTGTCGGTAAACACAAGGCAACGTAAGGTTGCAGAGTTGGCAACGCAGGAGTGCAACAGATTGATCACCTCTCAGTTAGCTACAAGGGATATCATCACCGATACTGTCTGGCTTAGCTATTTGATGACGTATTTGATGACCTACAAAACTAAGCATGCGGTTTGAATTCTGCATGATGAAATGTCTTCCATTTGTCGCAACATTGAAATCAAACAGGTTTAAAAACAAGAAACATTTTGCCATGAACCGTGTGCTTGTCAAGCTAAGGAAACATCTCTGTTTAATGTTTCAAGGTTAATGTCTGAATAACGTTGTGCTTTCTCTAACAATGACCTTCTTCTGGACTAGATTGCAGTCTGAGTTTTAATGTTTAGAATATTATGGGGTCCCAACGTAGATGAACATCATTCCATGATGTCCGTTTTGTTTTCCGGTAATTTTATAATGATGACTGATAATGTCAATACAAGAAAGGTTTTTATCGGGAGTTGTGTTATCTTTTAGTAATTATTTTTATTTGAAATTATCTTTCATATTACTACTTACCTCTGATAGAATAATATTAGGATGATCTCTCAGAAGAAGAGGAAAAATTTGGTTTACATGTCTACTATGTTGAAGAGTGAATTACTGCATAGAATCTTCATCATTTGAAAGAATTAAATCCATAAATATTCAGTAAATTAAGTTTGATTTACTATTAATTTTTATACTTTTGGTATGGGGGGAGCTGGAACACACCCAGATTCCCAGCAGGATATCAAATTTACGTCATTTCATAAAAATAGTGATTGTACATTCTCATTTGGCACAATTTATTGGCACTTCATTTTCAGTTGCCTGAAGCAAGATACTTGTTTAATTTTTCCCAATCTTGTCTTTTCAATATTGTTTCAGGGGAACAATATTGACGTTTTGCTAAATTCCACGTGGAGTACCTCATATCTGATATTTTCAGACACGTGTGACCTTTACCCCAGATGTAGCGTACAACTCTTGATAGTGCATAATGCAATATTAGCTCACACCTTCATCCACGGGCTGGCACCCTCGTGGAGGACGTGTTTGTACACACGAATCTTAATTCCATCCTGATGGTACCGTCCTGCAGTGTGTGTTAGGTCCCTGAATAATGAAGAACCTGCAGGTGTTTCTGTTTCCAAGGCTGTCCTGGAAATCTTCCACCTGTCGGGATGCACCCTTTTTGGTCCTTGCTGTCATTCAAGAAAGGGAATATGAATACTTCAGTGTGAATAGATCAAATGAGATTCCTCTCCTGAAATCCAGATTTCTTGAATTTGTACTCAAACAACTGAGAAATGGCAGAGTCTAGAGAAAGTTTTGGAATAGTGGAAGACAAAGCTGGCACTCTGCCATCCCAATCGCACCTGCCTGCAACCTTATTCCAGTCTGGCCGCATGACATACAAGTTGCTTGAATTCCTCTCTGTAGAAGAACAGGTTTCAGGGTACCGACCTAGCTAGTTGCAAGAATATCTAATTGTGCGTTTGCACTGAGAGGCGTGCACGTGATTTAATGATTAACAGAGCAGAGCCGTTTGGTTTCAACATCCTTTTGTGTTGCTACGTGCCGTGAAATTCAGATAGCTTCCTCTCTCCCAGTTGTCTTCCACTCCATCAGCACTGTCCAGCCCAGAGCGTGGGGGATAATGGCCTGGGCTCAAAGCGGCGGAGTGAGTCAGAGGCTTACGCGGCTTGAGCTGCTCCCTGAGAGCACAGTGAGTCACTTGGAAACCAGGTTAGCTCTTTGAGGGCGAGATGGGCCCATTTAGAAAATTATCTCATGCCCGGAATGGCACCTTCATGGCATCAGAGGGCACCCGAGTGGCTGCAACTTTATATAAATATAATCTCAGGCCGGATTCCCTGCATGCGTAAGAAAAGTTAAGCGCTTTCTGGAAGCTGCTCTAACTTTTTCAAGTGGTTAAAGTAGCATTTGGTTCCTGAAGAAGCAATATGCTCAGTGTTATTCTAGTGCCTGAAAGAGTTAACACAATTTAAAAAAAAAAACACAGGATTTTCTTTTCTCATGAAAGGTATTCAAAGCACTGTCCTGTGTTTTCAATTAACTTCCTCCTTTAAAGATAATTTCCCGTCAGTGCACCCCCTTTAAGATGTCCATAATTATGTTAAGTAGAGAATGAAGAAAAATAGTTTGAAAATGTATACTAATAGATTTTTTTGCTATTTGAGGATTATTTATTATTTAAAAACACTAATCTAGTTCACAATATTTTTGTTTTAAGCTGAATAATGCCCCTTTAGTACCGTGGTGTTACAAGACAGGGTGTTAGGTCAGAGGAAGGGACATGAGGTGTGCCATTTCCTCCAGGAAAAACATACTAGTCTCACCTATTATATCCCCCCAATTTTAAAAGTATGTATAACTTTAAATATCTCATTTGTATTGCTATAAATGGGTTTTTAATTAGTGAACGAAGATGTCCTGAGCGGGTCCATGAGCTGATGTGGCTCTGAGTGTCTCTTCTGATCTGATGCAGGTTTCAGACGGAAGTCAACTACGACACTCTGGAGGTGCGAGATGGGCCGGCCAGCTCGTCCCCGCTGATCGGGGAGTACCACGGCACGCAGGCCCCCCAGTTCCTGATCAGCACCGGGAACTTCATGTACCTGCTCTTCACCACGGACAACAGCCGCTCCAGCGTGGGCTTCCTCATCCACTACGAGAGTAAGTCGGCTGTTCCACTGCCCCAGGCCGCCGCGCACACACAGTCGAATTTAAGATCTATGTTCTCATTTTTCTCTAATTTCAATATAGTAAGGGGGCACAGATGTTTTTGATTCCATGGATTGCTTTTTTAATGCTCGAGCCACAGCTATAAGTGTGGCTTATCCAAATAGTGCTCAATGTACCCGTTAGGTAGGTTTTCTCCCCTCTCCGCCTCCCCCTGCCCCTGCTTGCTTTCCACTGAGTGTTACTCCCCTCTGTGCACCTGTGTGCTCGTTGGTTAGTTCTAATTTAATAGCGAAATAGCGAGTACATGTGGTGTTTGTTTTTCCCTTCCTTAGATAATTCACTTAGGAGGATGGCCTCCAGTTCCATCCAAATTGTTGCAAAAGGCATAATTTATCCCTTTTTTCGCTGAGTAGTACTCCATGGTGTACACTTACCACGTTTTGTTAATCCACTCATGAATTGACGGGCACTTGGGTTGATTCCTCATCTTTGTGATTGTGAATTATGTTGCAATAAATGTTTGAGTGCAGGTGTCGTTTTGACATTTCCTTTGTGTGGACACCCAGTAGTGGGATTGCTGGATCAAATGGCAGGTCTACTTTTACCCCTGGGAATGCATTTTTAACACTCGCCAGTTAAGACAAAACCAACCAGAGCAGCTGCTACTCTCCTCTCTGCTTGAGAACGCTTCCCTCAAAGAGGAGAGTGAGGGAGAGGAGAAGGAACGGAAGTTACCGTTGCCTCTGAAAGAGTCGAACCTTCGTTTTGCAGGATTTTTATGGTGGTTGTTTTTCAGAACCTTATCTCAAAATAAAATTAATTTGAATGGTGCTTAAAATGTATTTCTACATACTCCCCCACACACATGATTGTACAAATGTGGGAATGAGCCCACATCTAGCGTGTTGGATCTTAAATCTCCTTTTTCCTTTTTCTTGCCTTTCCCCACGTCTGTCCCTGCCGCTCCTGCCAACCGGTGCCTGAGCCCTTCACCCGCACACAATTCAATAGCCCGTTAGGCACATTTCTCTGTTTCACGTGCGCATATGATCGTATACAAACGTACACACGCATATACACCTGTGAGGTTATGTGTACTTTTTGATTAAAATACTACACTCATATTCTGATAGCAAGAAAATTTGTTATTAATAACTTAAAGATTAATTTCAAATTTA